CAGCAGATGTTCACCTCCGGCCTGGGCACGCCTGCGGGAACCTGTGTGGGAAGGGGATATGTGGTAGGGAAGGAGAACATGGGAGTGGAATATATGGGAGAGTAGTAGTGTAGTAGGAGAGTAAGCGGCTTCCCGTCAGTATCTTTTGTATCTTTTGGTGTATCTTTTGTCTCTGTAGACCACTTGTAATGATTTGAAGGAGTATCGTTGACAATACAGTACCGTAGAGGAGTATAGAGTTGAAGATCTATCTGCCAACTTTACCAGTTTTCCTTTCGTCTCCACTTTGTGGTGTGCCACCGTGATCCCGTAATGCTGTGTGTGTGTTAGGACACTATTTTCTTGGTCGGTGTCAGTGCATCTAAGACCATCATACCACAGTGGTCCAGGAATGTGTTGATGAAGTGTCTCTATATACTCTGTGTGGACTCTTCTCGGCGGTCCAGGAGCCAGATTCACGAAAGCACTTACGCAAGCACTTACGAACCTGTACATCTTTTCTCAATCTTTGGCGGCTTTGTTTATAATTATTAAACAGTTAATGAGCTCCGAAGCACCAGGAGGCTGTTTATAACAATAACAACAGTTGATTGGGAAGTTTTCATGTTTGTAAACTGTGTGATAATTGGAAACAAAGCCGCCAAAGACTGAGAAAAGATGTACAGGTTCGTAAGTGCTTGCGTAAGTGCTTTCCTGAATCTGGCCCCTGGTCTCTGAACCCATTATGTGAGCGTAAAGGCGTTCTTTCACCAACTCACCCCCACCATGGGTATGGATGAACGCCATAACAAGCTCATTAAACTAGCGAGGGTAATCACCCAGTTCATGCGGTGGTGAGAAACTGTCCAAGGTGATGGTATTACCGGACTGCTCGGTACGTTGATGGACTTGCTTCTTGCAAGATGACCTTCCATCTCCGGATGTCCAAGTGGTTGGGCACCGTCTCTTTTTACTAATCTCTCCTTCCAAGTCATACTAGCTCATCGCTCTCCTAATTACCTGTCCATACCTTACCCTAATCTTGACAGGTATTTCCGTGCTCACGTGTCCGCTTGGTAAACAACCTCTCCTATGTTGTAGTTGGGTCTAGAGTGGTGGTTCCTCTGGCTTGGTTTGCCAGGTTCCTTGTACGTATATGGAAGACTGTATTGCTGGCGGCGACACGGAGGTCTGTCTCGTCTAGGACAAATTTATTTATTTATTTATTTATTTATGCATATACAAGAATCTGTATGTTCTGGGACGCCTTTTGAAGGGACAACTCATAATAATAATAATCACTAAAAATAAGTATGATATAGTTATGTTGATGATTTCGGGGCTTTAGTGTCCCCGTGGCCCGGTCCTCGACCAGGCCTCCACCCCCAGGAAGCAGCCCGTGACAGCTGACTAACACCCAGGTACCTATTTTACTAAGTAACAGGGGCATAGGGTGAAAGAAACTCTGCCCATTGATTCTTGCGGAGGGTGGAAAGCGGTTGTAGGAGAGAGAGAGTAGCGTGAGGGAGGTGGTGATGCGAGGGTGTGGGAGTTAACTGTAAATCACACCTGTATGGTAGTGAAGCGAACACGCCCTGTGCTCCCTGCATGTTCCACGCCCTGACACCACCACCACCACTCTCACACTCATCTCCAACTGTCTCCCAATCCGTAGGGCTTATCAGCACCACTGGAGGGTTATTAAGACCACCACCACCATGACATTCTTGACCAGCAAGTATACTATTGGCCTGAACATAGTCCAGATGTATAGTATACTCCGTGTATATACAGCTAGTAATGGAGCAACCCGTTCTCGCAAATTCGTAAAGTCAATATTGACTTATTAACTACGTGCACAGGTGATATACTAAACATAATAGATACCCTTAAAAAGATTCATAGAAAACACCGACCTTACCTAACCTTGTTAGTATCTTAAGATAAGCATCTTATTGCTTCGTAATTACAATTATTACTTAACCTATACCTATTATAGGTTAGGTAATAATTGTAATTACGAAGCTATAAGATGCTTATCTTAAGATACTAACAAGGTTAGGTAAGGTCGGTGCTTTCTATGAATCTTTTTAAGGGTATCTATTATGTTAAGTATGTCACCTATGCACATATTTAATAAGTCAATATTGACTTATTAAATTTGCGAGAACGGGTTGAATGGAGGGGTAGAGTATACGGTGTGTATATCCGTGTTATATTCCACTAAAAGTCAGTCGACCAGTTACCCGAGTGGTGAACTGATATACCTGTTACTGAACTCTCTAATGAACTATATAATTTTGATAATTACTCATTATATTTTGATAATTACTAAATATATTTTGATAATTACTAAATATATTTTGATAATTACTCATTATATCTTGATAATTACTCATTATATCTTGATAATTACTCATTATATTTTGATAACTACTAATTTTGCTATTCTCTTGGTAACTACGTTAGTAAGGCTACAAGAGCTTGAGTAAGGAGGAGTGTAACTGTACCTGAGAGAGCAACACCTTCTCCTGTGGGTGTTTACCTCGTCTTGTTAACTCAGTGTCATACTGTAATTTGTGCTGTGGTCCATGTGTGTGTTGGCGGGTGGGGGGAGGGGTGTAGCATGTGTCTGTGTTGCTCAGAGTGCATGTGTTGGGGGAACATGACAGGTGTGTGGGTGAGTGAGGTGACAGGTGTGTCTGTCTGTGAGAGAACATAGAACCACAGATACGCGTGTTATAATTATGTAGGGAAAACCACACAGAAAATGACTGAAAATTTATGACAGAGCGGCTTTCATACGTTGATATATAAGACACAAGGTGTGTTTATATAGGGGAAGTGGTGTAGGTGAAGGCTGTATTGGTAATCTGTAATATCAACTGCAAGAAACTCCCCATACATGTTGGGTGCTATAGTGTGTGTGTGTGTGTGTGTGTGTGTGTGTGTGTGTGTGTGTGTGTGTGTGTGTGTGTGTGTGTAGAAAATGTGAACATATTTAAAGCTTGCTATTAAACACATGATGTTTAATAGTTAAGTGATGTAGTTAGTGGCATACTTCTTTTTGAAGCGAAGCTTTCCTACAACCTGTGCTCTCTCTCTCTGTCTCTCTGTCTCTCTGTCTCTCTCTCTCTCTCTCTCTCTCTCTCTCTGTCTCTCTCTCTCTCTCTCTCTGTCTCTCTCTCTCTCTCTGTCTCTCTCTCTCTCTCTCTGTCTCTCTGTCTCTCTCTCTCTCTCTCTCTCTCTCTCTCTCTCTCTCTCTCTCTCTCTCTCTCTCTCTCTCTCTCTCTCTCTCTCTCTCTCTCTCTCTCTCTCTCTCTCTGTCTCTCTCTCTCTCTCTCGTACAAATTAAAGCATTGTAATATTGACGTCCTCTGTGCTTCGGCTTCGATAGGTAGGGTGGCGGGTTGCTTGGGTTTGTACGTTTCTGGTTAGGCAAAACAGTTACATATTTTACGGAGTGGCAAATTGAAAGAACGGCGTGGTTTATGGAGATAACTGAGGCAGCGGAGCGTAGCGGCCAGGGAGATCTGGGGGAGGACCCCCCCCCCCCCCCGCCACTACCAACCAGTTAAGCTGTTTTAACGGGATTTGCATTCTAGCTTTTGGAAGGTGGGGAGGGGGAGGGGGGAGGGATTTATTGGCGGTGGCAGCGGCGGCAGAGGCAGCAGCGGCAGAGGCAGCAGCGGCAGCGACTGTGGCGGCAGCGACAGCGGCAGAGGCAGAGGCAGCAGAGGCAGAGGCAGCGACAGCGGCAGAGGCAGCAGAGGCAGCAGAGGCAGCGGCAGAGGCAGAGGCAGAGGCAGCAGAGGCAGAGGCAGCGATAGCGGCGCTGGCGGGAGGCAGCGATAGCAATGATAGCATCAGGAAGGGCAATGGGCTTATTCCGGGAATTATACGAATTGAGAGCCCATTAACCCACTAGCGCCGCTCAGCGTGTAGAAAGGACTTCTGGTGAAATTTTGAAAGAAAGAATGAAACAATTTAGCCTCGAACCCCCCCCCCCCCCTCCCCCCCCTGCAAGTATTTTCTGATTTTCATCACAATTTCATCTTTCAAAGTCTCCTCATCAATACTCATCTATAGGGTGATTCAGGATATTAATTCGACACAACGGTGAATCTACACACAAACATTTGTATCGTAGGAAGTTATAACACACTTATCTACCTACGTTGCTCACATCTCCGCCCACAGTACGCCCACACACTCCCCTCGCTCACGCCCACAACATCCACATGATTGTTGTTGTAGATTCAGCGACTCGGAACAAAAGTTCCAAAGTAGCACGGGCTATGGTGAGCCCGTAGTGGACTTACCTGGCACAGGAGCGGTGCTGTGCCAGATGATGACGTTGTTGTTTTAGATTTAGCTACTCAGAAGGAAGTGTCCATGTAGCACGGGCTATGGTGAGCCCGTCCAGATGATGAAGGCGAGTGTGTCCATATAGAAGGCTAGTGAGTGGTGAGGAGCGTCTCTCCGAGGTGTGTGATCTCTGTTGTCCTCCGGGAGGTTGCCCTCCCTCCCTCACTGTTGCTCTTGTCTTTGTGCTAATTACTTCTTGCTATACACTTCCCGGCCGCCGCCATGCCCCTGGTGTACGGGCTGGTCCAGCAGCACCCTGGCGGAGCCTAGTGTGGCGGCCTTTGTTGCTCGGCACGTGCGCTGGCTCGCTTGTGTGTGTCTGTGTGTAAACGCCTATTTGTACTCACCTAGTTGTGCTTGCCTGGGGGGAGGGGGGTGGAGCTCTGGCTCTTTGGTCCCGCCTCTCAACCGTCAATCAACTGGTGTACAGGTTCCTGAGCCTACTGGGCTCTTATCATATCTACATTTGAAACTGTGTATGGCGTCTGCCTCCACCACGTGTGTGTGTGTGTGTGTGTGTGTGTGTTTGTGTGTGTGTGAGATAGTAACGGTGGCAGCCACAATTTATCTATATAATCTCATACATGTATATGTATATAAGTAAATATAATATTTTAAATTTGCTTCTTATCATTTGGTTAACTTTTCCGCAGCACTTGAACAACTTACTGGAGAACTACCTGGAGCCGCTGAAGAGCGCGTCGTTCCTGAGTTCGGCGGAGGTGAACGCGCTCTTCGGCAACATCCGGGAGATCGTAGCCTTCCAGCGGCTGTTCTTACAGGCGCTGCAAGAGGCCCTCGACATGGAGCCAGGCTTCCCCACCTTCGACCAGCCATACGAGTTTAAGGTCAGTGTGTGTGTGTGGCGGTAAGGATTTTGTTTCATTTACCCTTAACGTGTTAGAAAACGAAATTAGACGTGGCAGGGGATGCCTTAGGTCTACTTAGGTCTTAGGTCTAGGTTTGCCTACACTGCAATGTGATTTTTTTTCCCCTCATTAATTATTTGACCAGGCTGTTAGAGCTGGTGGTCGTTAGGTTTTGATCTTACCCCACTTGGGGAAAGGGGGGGATAAATATTACAGTTTAACAAAACCTTTCCAGCTATGGCATGTTAAATGAAGCTTTAGGCAGTGACCTTTTTATCATATTAATTAACACAGTCTGTTGACAATTGTTGACGAGTCCAATCCCTAAGCTTGGCAAGACCTTTGGCCACGTTTCCTTACACTAAATAGCAACATGGAAGCTAGACGCGTTTCGGGGCCTGATAAGCTAAAAAAAAAAAAGGCTTCTGTCCCCCTGACAATTGGAAACGAACTTGTAATATAGCATCTTCCCGTGTTCTTCCTTGCAGAACGTATTGTTCTCCATCGGAAGCGCGTTCCTATACTACGCCAGCCAGTTTAAGCTCTATAGTTCCTTCTGCGCCTCACATTCGAAAGCTCAAAAAGTTCTACATCCGA